CCTTTGCCAGAAGAGGCAGCTGAGGAGTAAAGTTCTTGCTCCAAGTCTGGACTTGAAGTGGGGGCCAGCTGTGGCAGCAGGGGTGTAAGAGCTCCCCACCCTGCTGGCCGGGACCCTGATGACATGGAGATTCAATGTGCAGGCTGATTCAGGACTTCTCCCAGGCCTCCCTTCCCAGGGTGCTCCTCGGCTGCCATCATGTCAGATCCCAATCTCTGAGCAGCCCGAGGTGCGCGAGTCCTCCTAGAAGTCTATGGGGGTGTAGTCGTCCTCCTCCTCTTCTTGCTGGATCGCAGTACCTGTAGCGAGGCGTGGGCAGTGCGGGCTTTCTGACCAGTTCTCATAGCTCTTACCCTGCAGGGAAGTGGCAAGGGGCATGGTTGAGGGTGATGGGGACTGGCAGAGAGGCAGGGGGAGCCTGATTAAGTGAGGAAAGTGACTAGCAATCTTCCATGGATCGTCCCAAAAAATATTCATCCACTCAGCCACTTATATGCTTTCAACACATATTTGCTCATTGCTTTTTTGGATTAGGTTCCTGCCCAGAACCCCTGAGCGCACCTTGCTTTCCCCTTCCATAGCTTTCCCTCCCTGGCTCTGCACATCGACAGTCAGCTGAGCAGACCCCAAACTGCACCTCGCTCCATCCACGGAGTACAGGGTGAGCAGGCGCTGCCCCACTGGCAGTGAGGTTGCTGTCTAACAGCAGCTGTGAGGGCTGCACAGAGTGGTCGGCACCACGGCGGGCACTGGCTCAGCCTGCACAGCCAGGGGAGGCCCTGGGATTTCAGAGCTCAGGCACACACGGTGGAGACACCTTGCTGTGAGCCTGGGACACAGAGGACGCTGTGCAGTGAAGGCTGCACCTGGCCCACGGGCAGGGTGGACCATGGTGCTGGCTCCTGAGAGGGGACGGCGCAGTGCAGCCCTGGCTGAGTCCTGCTGGGCAGGAGCATCGCTCTTCCCCTGAGAGTCACAGGCCAGGCCAGCTCTCTGCTTGGGACCCTGTGATTTACAGTACCTGCCTTGGGTCATGTGACATCAATCTCACCTCCTTAAGGCCTAGAAAATCACTAAGGCCAGCCACATGTGTGCATGCTCTCAGTGTGACAGGCCACCAACAGAACCCTGGATAGCAGGACTCTTTGTCTTTCCGAGGGCAGTGCCCTGTTCTGATTGTCACACTGAGGCTGAGAGAACTGAGGGCTCTCTGTGTCCCTCTGTGTGGAAAGGAGCACTTGCAGCTGGTGCCTGCTCCCTACAGACCCTGCCCCTGCCAACTTCCCTTGGCTGACTCTCATCTGATCTCAGTGACAGACACAGCCCCAGGGAGCTCTCAGTCATCTTCTAGGGAACCCCCAAAGCTGAGTGCCTCAGGGAGCCCACTCTGCAGGAGGCCTCAGATTGATGCATGCAGGAGACCCCAGGGCCTGCAGCAGAGAGCAGTGTTTCCTGGCATTTGGGCTCCTCTGTTGAAGGGGAGGCATAGACCAAGCGCAGGGCTCAGGGGTCCAGAGAGAATTGAGGGGATGTGGTGGGCAGCCCTGTGGGATGTGATTCCAGCAGGGGGTGAAGCCCAGAAGCCTGGACTGAGGGAGACCAAGGGAGCTCAGGCCGAGAGGGGCTCTGACTGCTGCTGTGCAGCTGTCATGGGGACCCAGAGGCCAAGGCCTATTTGGGGATCACTGGTGTATACCACATCGTGGAAGATGTGGCCGTGGCCATCTAGGGAGCTAAGCTTGGGAGTTGGGGTGTGCAGGGGGCTCCTCACTCACATCATAAAGGAAATCTGGGATGGGAGGAAGGTCCTTCCTTTTGGCCGCCCTCTTCCTGCCCTGCTCCCTGCGGGTCTTCATCCAGAGGGTGGAGGGCAGGACCCTGCAGACACTGTCCCTCAGAGTCCGGATGACCCTGATGTGCTTTTCTTCCAAGAGGCTGGAAAGCAAAATGAGGTATGATAGGTAGGGACACAGCTCAGAGGAGGTTCTCCACATGAACTGCCCCACCCAGGAGGCTGCGATCAGAGCTCGGACACACACTCACCAAGGGGCCTACGGGTAGCCCCCGCCCAGCCCTCCCTGCCTCCCATCCACCTGCCCTCTTTGCCGGGGCCCACACTCACCTGGGCAGGAAGAGGCAGGCACAGAGAGCCAGCCCAGCAGCCAGCCCTGCTCCCCCAAGAGCCGCCAGCAGGGACCTCCCCAAGCACTCTGGCTTCCCTGGAGACCAGCGGGCTTTAGGCTGAGGCCCTCCCCTCCCCACACCCTGCTGTTCACAACCACAGGCCTATAGCTCTGTGTCCTCGTCCTCCAGCCAGCAGAGCACAGGACCGTGTTTCCAAACTCATCACCTTCCCCTCCCACCCTAGCTCCTTTCCTCTGGCCCTGGGATCTGTCTCCCCCCATCCACCTTCCTCTCCCTGGGACTCATCCCATGTGTCCCAAGTGGGAAGTGGCAGGATAGGGGCCTTTGGGTCCCGTGGACACCCTGGCATCCCATCCAAGCCTTGGGTGAGAGCTCAGTACAAGGAAGAGGCTCAGGACCAGACCAGGATCCCCTCCCTGAGCCACCAGTGAAGGCTCCTCCAGTCCCCCATCCCTGCCCTACTCACAGTGCACAGAGAGGCGCAGAGAGACACTGTAGGTGCCGAGTAGGTTCTCCGCATGGCAGGTGACTTCCCCTGCATGCTCCAGTTGAAACTGGGGCAGCTCCAGGACCCCAGGGGCGGTCAGCCAGGAGGGGCTCAGGGCCTGTGTCCCCCGGGCCCAGCTCAGCCTGGCTGGGGGCTTGCTGTGGGTGACGCACACCAGACGCAGGCTCTGGCCCTCTAGGATGGGTAGGGAGGTGCCATTTCCAAGGATTTCCAGGACTGCGGAGGGAAGCAGAGACTCCATGTGTGGCTCCACCACCTGGCAGCAGAGGCCCTGGTCCCTCTGTGCCCTCCTACCTGTGCTGTTTGCTTGGGTAACCATCACTTTCAGGTCCTCGGGAGGATCTGCAGTGCAGACAGAGAAGTGGCTCTCCAGGGACTGGGACTTCTTTCTGAGCTGAGGATCCACCCAGGTCCCAGGGAAGTTGGGAAGGAAGGTCACCCACAAGTCCCAGTCACTACTTCTCATCCACGTAGACAGAGGAGGGCCTGGTCCTATAGGTCCCTGGTGCTCTGGGACCTGCCTGCCCCTGTGTCCACCCCATCCCTCCCAGCACAAGCTGCTCTGGCCACTCACACTGCACTGAGAGGTCCAGGGTGCGGTGCTTGGAGCCCAGGCTGCTCTCCGCTCGGCAGGTGTAGCGCCCCGCGTCCTCAGGCTTCACCCTGGGCAGCTCCAGCCTTAGGGGTCTGGGTCCTGAAGGAGGGGACTCAGAAACGACTCTGCCCCCCAGCTCCCAGGTCAGCGTG